CAAGCTTAACAAATCACCATAAAACACACGGTGAGTATTTTATTTTAATCTTTCTGAAATTTATAGTAATGGCTTTTAAAAATGTTGTTGAGATATTTTTATATAACGTTTAGAACGTTAACTTTAACAAAAGCCATCTATTTAAGTGTTATTTATTTATCAAAGATAATGCAAAATAATTACTGCTATAAATAAATAAGATACACTTATGTAAGTTTACCAGTAGATGGAGCCAAATAACCACCGATTAAGACCCATCTTAAGTAGAAATATATATTCTATACTGTATGTATGTTTGTTGGCATATTTTACACTTGAGATTATGTAAATCCTGTATTTAATAAGTGACTCAGACAGCTGAACATGTTCTTAGGCTTCCACATCTTTTCTCTTTAGCGCCCTTTTTATGACTTTTTTTTTTTTTTTTTTACAGCAGCTGTTGTATTGCAGGCGGTCTACAACACCACATGCTGGCAAGTGATAAAAAGAAAGCTGAAAGATTTCCTTTGCCTCAAAGCATGATTTCTTTTCCTCTTTGATTTTAGTCCCTCTCCTCAAGATAAAGTACTCCCAACACAGAGAAGCAGTGGATAAAGATTTAATCTCTTTCCTGATGAATGACCCTCTGCTTCTCTGACAGCAGGTGCTGAGGCACACTGCTCTGCTATGAGAAACACTGAGATGTTTCTGCATTTAGCTTTTTTCTCTTTGTTTCTGTAAAAGGTGGCTGCACTTCACATGGTCGACCCAGTTTGCGAAACCTCTGCTGAGAAGAGATATTTGATAACCTGTGGAGATAAGTTAAAAGTCAGTCATCGAGGGTTCATGTACCATTGTGTGACAGATCAATATCTCCAGCTTGTGTTTTCAATCAAACTAGATGTTGCTCACAGTTCTACATGTATTGTTTTCAGTTGTATGATATGTTATTTTATGTTTTACCTTCATTTGACAAAAATTATTATTTTTAATTCACAATTCCTGAATGTTGGTAGTGTAATGGGAGTATATCACATAACTTTAAAGAATTTTGAAAAAATTACTGGTGTGCTAGTGTTATTGAGTTTGGGATTTTCTTCAGTCCACATGGGGGCCAGAGACATACACACCAGGACAAATATTTGAAAAAGTGCTACTGAAAGTTTGAGAATGTCTTTCAACTTTACAAATTCAGGACCTACTAATTTCTTATCAGTGATCAGGACTGATTTTGACTGATGGTATATCTATGCCAGTATAAAATATACTGTATGCGATTCCCTGTGATGAATTGTAAGGTTGTCGAGGGTGCAGACCATAGCCTGAACTTTGGAAGGATCTTGGGTAGTTTGAGCCCGTTTTGTTGTTTTTGTGTAGTTTCTTATCTCTTTTAGTTCTGCCTTGTTCTATTTTTACTTCAGTGCCTTCTTAGTGATTGTAGTTATGTTTATTCCTTGTGTTTACTCCTTTCTTAGTCACTCTAGTTTTTATTACGTTTCTTATGTCCACTTATTTTATTAGATTCATTTTCTTGTTCTCAGTGTGCTCTCCCTTGCCCCTGGTGTCACTTTCTCTCTCTGTCTCTCCAGCCTGCATTTTGCTTTTTTCCCTCACACCTGCAACCTGTTAGCTCATCAGCCCAGGTCTTTTGTTCAGCGGTCCACCTCCCAGTACTTAAGTACCTCATTCTCAGTTACTTCTTGCTGGTTCCTCCCATTACTTGCCTATTTACTCCCTGTATCTCCTTCCTGTTTGATATCATAATGTGACATTTTAGTAGACTAAACCATTCCACTGGATTTTACCATATTTTGCTTTCACAATTAAATTAATTAGTATAATTTAGAGAATTGTTGATCTATTATATCTGGGAATAATAAGGCCTTGGTGTTGTTTAGTGAAATTGAATGGAACTGTTAAAAACTGTAATAAAAATTAAAATGGTTAAAGACAGTAAGTAATAACTTCACAAGGAAGATTGGTTTGGATTACCTTGTTCCTCAATAATTTAGGTCATCATTTAAAAGCTGCATTTTGCATTTATCTATCTGACAATTCCATTTGTTTAATGATGTAAAACATTTAAGACAAAACAGATTACATCTATAAAGGGGAAATACTTCTTCACAGCATTGTATGGGCATTATAAGCCATCTGAAAAATAAACAGAGAGCTTTTTAATGTTGCATCTCATTTCACGTTATCGTCACACATTTATCATTAAACCTAAGTCGGTGCTTTATTTCTAAAGTGTACTTTTCCAAATCTAACTAAGTTGTCTGTGGTTGTTTTGCAGTGTAATATTGCTTGCTGTATAGATGTTTTTTTGTAAAGATGTACTTTCAATGTTCTCTCTAAATTGAGCTCATATATTCTGAGTTTATGTGAGCATTATTTCTTTCTTTATGGATGGAGCCTCCTTTGGCTCAACTCAGAGTGTTGCTGAAGTCGGAAACTCCATTATCGAGGGCCCCTGATGAAAACCTGTTAATGGCCGTTCAGTTAGAATTGAGGTCGAGCAAGAGACCCGGCAGTGCAGCCACACACAAAGCCATAAAGCCTGATGTAGGGGGCTCTCATCGAGCGTCCGCAGCTCAGGAAGAATAACTGTACCGGTGTCTGCAGACCTGTTGAATTAAAGGGGGCATTAACTGCTGCATCCTCTGCATTATTGATGGAGAGCTCCTTTCCCGAGGCCATAATGTCGGTTATTTTTCCCCTTGCAATTTTCTGGTAGACGTCTTGCTGTCTTCAAACACACTTCTGCAGAGAGCAAAGAAAGGGTTCAGGAGAAGTACTCGGCCTTCTCCTCGCAGGTTGCTGTTATTTTAAACTAAGCTGCGAACCGCCGCAATCAATGCAGAGCTGCAGAAACCCTGTACAACAAGTCATGTTGCATGCGTGAAATGAGAGTAATCACAGGATGACAAGCGTGGTGTGATGAGTGTTATGCAAGATGCCACCTACACTGACAACACAAATGGAGGTGGTGAGATTTCCTCCTAAAGGTGCCAAATCACATGGTGCCTGGAGTGTTTCTTCATGAGGTGTGACCCCAAAGAGACAAAACCAGACACTTTCATTCCGCTTTGATGCCAAACGCTTCCTAACAGGGATTACCTCATGAGTCACCCCCGCTGCCACCTACAGTACACTTGTTGTTGAGTTTCTCCAACAACCACTCATGCTGCTGGTTTTATCTGCTCCTGGCCAGCTTGAAGCTCCTCACTACGCCGCTGACCTCATCCTGTCAGATGATTTAACGAGCAGAGCCTTGTCACAAACGGGTGCGTCTGGGGCCTGATGGGGCAGCACCACACAATGCCCAAAAGATTAATGAGGTCATCTTCATCGCACAGCACGTGTGAGAGACACTCGGCGGGGAAGAAAGAAACTTGATGACTTTGGGAACCGTTTAATATAAATGACGCAAAGAGAATCAAAAATAACAGCTTCAGTATTCATAGGCAGTGAAGCCTGACTCTGGTCTACTTATCTGCTTTGAATTTTATAGCTCACCCTGGTCGATGATAATGAGCTGACATTTTTTTGTACTCGGTCAGCAGGGATTGGTGTGCTCTGCCCTTTGATTCTGCTTCCATGTGTGGGATTCCAATTGTGTGCGTGTGTTTGTGTGTGTGAGGAAATTTATATGAGCTTTGGTTTTATGATGATAACATTCTTAAGGGCAGTCCCAAATCAATTCACCTGAAGTCCAAATGCTTGACTTCCATCTCTTTCAAAGGCTGCTATTGATTATTCCAACCTTTCCCAGATTTTCAAAGGGACAGGCGAAAGAGACTGTTCCAGAAATGGAGAGATGATAATGCAATTAAGAAGGCCTTGTGGAGTGTAGAGTAGAGCTGAATGTGAGTGGAATCAGAATGCACAAGATTTAGCAACTCTGGTTAGAGTGTATTTTTCCTATTTCCTATTAATTTTGAAAATTACAAATAACTTCTCAAAAAAGTCCAAGTGCTGAAAAATTTAAAAGCTCCACACTATTTTCTCACCTGGTGGTTAAAAAGTAGGTGGACCAGAAGCAGAAAGTCAGAGAACCGAGAAAATCCAGAAGAAACTGCTCATATCTTATAGAAAAACAATCACAACTTACAAGAGGATTAAGCTTTGGTCATTTTTAAATTTATGTGAAGCATCCTACAACTACTGAAAACACTGTATACTGAGGTCTGACAAAAAGCATTCAGAAAAGTGCCCAATCTCCTACATTATGATTTAGTTTTTATTGAGAAACAGCTGAACAGTCGATTTGCAAAGGTCCTTTAGCACAAAACATTTGGTGGTAGTTTGGTAGATGTAAAAATATGTTGTGCAAAACTGAATTAAATAAAGGATAATGCAATGTCAATATTTTGCCATCATTGACAATGTATTCCTTTTCATTTAATTAATTATTTAATTTTATTTATTAATTAATTTTATATTTTACTTTATTCTTTTTATTGATCTTTCTGAAGTGATTCAGTGACAGAATTACATAAACGAAATTGTCTTTTTGGATAAAATGCAACAAAGTAGATGCATTTTTGTCCAAACACAAGATAAACTCAGCCTTCATTCCATCCCAAATAATGTCATGCAATTTCCAATTTTTCTTTTTTTTTTTCCCCTCACTAAAATATCTCAAAACTCTTTCTCTAAAATTATATCAATGGTGATCTTTACTTTGTGTTTTCATAAATCTGATAGATGGGAATTAACAATGGCATAAAGATAGGGGTACTACAAAAATATATCTCTGTTTTTTTATGTTTTTCTGTATGTAATGAAGCATTCAGATTATTTAAGAGTCCACAAAAACTGCAGATTAAATTCTGGATGGCCGCTGGATGGCGCTAAAACACCACCAGCGCAGACACATTAGGCTTTGAATCCGGCTGCGCTGACATTCCTTTAACAGCTCGGATTCATTTCTTTAACTGCACGAACCTGTTTCCCAAGCCAAACCGAACTCACTTTGTTGAAGGAGGATTGTAAAAAAAAAAAAAAAAAAAAAACTCACCCTGCCTCAATCGTGAAACTATGTCCGAGTGTCCGGCTCCGAGTCCAGCTGCAGCGGCTCTGGCGGATGGGAAGTTGTGAGTCACATCAGGAGGACGCGCAACTTTTATAGACTTTCAAGTTCGCAGCTTGCGAGTAACCAGCAGCGCTCAGTTTCGAGTCCTCTGACTCTTGGATTGCGCGTCTGTAGAGCTGTGGCATCAGCCCACCGCGTGTTTCAGGTTCGGTGCCGTACAGGGCGTCTCTTATCGAGGAGGATATGGTAATTCCATTAAGAACATGTTTGTGGTGTTTGCGGTTTGCAATGGAGAATAAATAAAAAAAGGACGGTTATCGGGGATTAACTGAGAGCACAGAAGCAGGTAGGTCGGCTTTGCAGTTTTTAACCTCTCTGCTTTTAATTATTTGTGTATTTGAGATGTTGCTGAAAGATTCAACAAGATGATTTAAAAAAAATCAAACAAGGAGATTAACCATTGAACATTTTCCAAAACGCTTACTGGTATCACTGACACCAATTTGGAAATTGACGATTATAAGTCCTGTGCTGGTTGTTGCTGGTTGCCATATTTTTTAACTTTCTACTGTCAGCATGTAGACAAAAATCAGATCTTTTTTTATTGACTTCTTCAATTTAAACAGAGCCAGCATCAGTTCTTTTCTCTCTCCTCTTTGAGCTGTTTCACAAACTGGTGGACATTTTTTCTTCTGCCTATTAGCTGCACTGGCTTTTTAGTTACATGCATAGGATGGCAGGTTAATCCCTGCATTAAATCCATGCCTGATCAGATCAGATCAAGTCTGAAATGTTAATTCATGAGACATCAACAGAGATGTGTGAAGCAGCAGCAAAATTCAGAGAAAATCATGCAAGAGGATGGAATATCTGACATTTCTGACCTAAACATTCTGTGAGTGGGTTGGTGACTGATATCAAGTAAGAAAAATTAAAAGTCCAAAGAGTTTTTATGAAGATGTAAAGTTTACTGCATTTGAAGTAATCCATCTTTTTGGGATGAGGATGATGACTCATAATAATCCCTGTTTCATCTGCATATTTTAGACAAGAATATTGAATGACAAAATGTGACACTATGAAAAATGAAAGTTTAAATGAATTAATGTGCTTTTCAAAATTCATCTTTGAAGAGAACAAAAAATAACTTCAAACTGCAAAAGAAAAAAAATGAAGTAAAAAGAAGAAGAAATGAACACATATAATTGCAAAATTCTAAAACAAAACAAAAAACCTTTTAAAATAACACAATAAAATTTAAAGATGCAACAGTCAAATCTAACCCCACCCCCAAACCCCAGTCATTAAAATCATTCAATGTAAAATCTGCCAGTTTGTCTATAACTCATCAATCAAGAGCATGTACTGTGATGCACCTTGAGTTCAATAAAAATGAAATAAAGGTTAGGAACACATACTTTGCTGCACAAATGAGGATTCAGTCAACTACTTCTATCAAACAGTTTATTATGGATTAATAGCATTTTGGATTTTGGAAAAAAGCTTAAAAATAAACTCAAAAATGTAATAAATAATTATAATCTCCAGGTCAAAGCAAGGGGAAAACTGCAAGATGCTCCCAAACAGAAAATACCTCTCTAGTGCAACTAAAAAGATTCCTTTAGGGAATTAAATTTGTTATGATTTACGCAAGGATTTATTTTATCTACTCATTCATTTTTGATTGAAATGACCTTCTAAACAGAAGACGCAACTCCAGCTCTACATATTAAGCCATACTTTCACTTTTGGTTGATCAAAATGGATGGTCGAGTCTGACTCTGTGGGATTTTTTTCATCCTTTTTTTTTACATCTCAACTGGATGGCGTTAAATAATCTGTGAGTTTCCATCTTGCGTATCAGTGGAAAGGTTACCTGAACATGGCTCCCCACAGTAAAGCTCTACAGGCAGATCAAATACAGATCTGAATCCACAGCAGGGGCCAGTGTGCTTCCTGTGAAATCCACCATAAGAGTAAAACAGCTTCACCTACAAGCTCTTGCTCTGTGACTTTCACAAAAGCACAAGGCTTTGCTCCTGTAGAAATGCTTGGAACGCTCAAACAGAGCCTCTAATCAAAATTGGCTCTTGTGTTTGTCGTCAGCTGCTTTCCACACAGAATGCAGATATTTACCGTTGTGCTTACACATCACTGACGCGACTATCATTCTCTCTTTCTTTCTCACTTATAGTCTGTCTTCACCTTGTTCCTTCAGCTGCCCTTCATCACCTTGCCTTGTGTGGTCAGCTGTTTTTTCTTCCCCTCCTTTTCCTCAATTAGTGCTATCATCGCATTTCATCCTGCAGAATACAGGGATGGTAATAACCTTATACTCCTATTGCAGCCTGATACAATTCTACTGTGATTAATTGAAGTCCCCTCAGAGAGTCAGAGGAGGCGTAGATCTTCCCTTTCACACTCGCTGACAGGCAACCCATTATATTGTTTTATAGATCGCCGTCAGTAGCCCTTGAAGCCGCCTGTGGCCCACTGTTGTTCTGGAGGGTTTTATTGTGTAGGGTTATTGGTTGCTATTGCTGACAGGCGGAGTAAAGGCCACCTTGGGATTACTGGAGATGGGATCTCTGTGACAGCCCCACTGTATTTGACAGTAACACCGGAGACTTGAAAAAGCTTGCTCTGCAGACTCTGATGGAGAAAGTGGCAATTTGTTTTTTTTACCCTCACAAAAAAAAATAAAAAATACTTTTGCCACCATAACACCACAATAGTGCACTTTGCCATGTGTGGTCTCCAACAGCAGGTGAAGCAAACATTTTGAGCCTTTGTGCTATTTGCATGTGACAGAAACACTGCAGCTTTGTCAGAGAATCGATATAAAGAGGTGAGACTGACTGCCTCGCAATTCCACTTGTCTTTTAAAAGCTACCAGCAAGCAGGTATTGCAACAACAGAGTGAAGAATTCAGAGCACTGAGTGAGGCTTGGAAAGCGTCCTTGAAATGCATGAGCCACCAGGTGACATCTAGAAAAAGAGAACGGTGCAGAACATCACAATAAGAGGCTTGTTTCTAGTTTTAAGAAGCCACCCCAGGCTGAATTTGTGTTCTTCACCATTTTCCTTCTCTTGCTGTCAGATCAATAGGGCTTAATAATAAAAAAAAAAAAAATCCGTAGCGTGTTTTCAGGCTTGAAACAAACCGTTCAGCACTTTAGTTTTTGCGCTTTATAAAGGTCTGTGTGGGTATTGTGCAATTTTACTATTAAAATTCCTCTTTTTCCTGCAGTACTTCTAAATATGTCCTCATTCAACACACTTTATAGATGTCATGTGGTGTGAAAATACAAGGTATGTCTGTTTATGCAAAAGGCATGCACACAACTGTTCAGTGTCTTATCAAGGAGAAAATACACAGTGATGTCACAAATTAACCATAAAACCATGTCTCTTGCATCACTTTAGAATCGTTATATTACCTACCGACTTTACAGGTTTAGTTTAACAGAACAATAAAAAAAATCCACCATCTGTCTAAGTGTACATGATTACGCTCGATTTCAGTGCCTCAAGATTTGCTGCTCAGTGACGTTCATAGGCTAATGTGTTTAGAGAGCTTTTTGTTCCACCTCTCAGCTTGCCAGCTCAAACTGCTGAGGTGAATCTGTCTGGTGCTTAAGGGGAGATTCAGAGCACTACAGTAACAAAAGAAATGCAGCACTGGGATGCTCGTGTGCTGCTCCGTCATGTCAAGAAGAGGAGGAGGACACAAAGAACATCCCTCATGTTTTATAGATGCCATTTAAAGGAATATTCTCAGGAACAGCCTTGCAGAAATGAAGTACAACACACAAACGAAACACTAAGGCAATAAACTAACAAACTGTTTTTTGTGGGAGGCAGCAGAGTCCTAATCACTCATCAGGGCTGATCTGTGCTGATGCGGTGCACAATTTTTCTCTGGAAGATTAGGCTGGAAAGCACAACCACATCTCTTATTTATTTTGTTCATGCAGCTTTGCTGTGTGCATGTTTGGGTATTTGGTGCACATGAGGAAGAGAGGCAGGTGATGATGATGATGTTTGTGTGTGCAGCTGATGTATTGCAGGAGATCTTGAGTGGCTGGTTGAATGATGCATGTGTGCAGAGGATTGTTTTTATTTTCCGTTGCATCATTAAAACTTCTTTTTTCAGGGGCCGAGGGGGATTGTTGTTATTTGATGATGGTCAGCTCCTTATGTTTCCCCCTGAGTCCACATGACTTGAATACAAGCAATCAGGCAAAGTTCATCTGACCCTCAAAATAACTGTTATTTAACAGCTATTGTTAGAACCGCTTTGCTGGAAGAGTGCAGCCTTCATTTTGATTTTCTTAGATCAAGTTTATTTTAAAACAACTTTAAACATAGAAAACATATCCATATATTCAATATAGAAACGAGAAAATTATGAAGATGAATGTTCTCAAAAGCATCAAAAAAAGCATGGGTGTTTTTAGCCTTTTCTTTTGTTACTTTCCTCAAAGTTAGAAGTTCACATACAGTAAGACTAGTATATTTCTCAACAATTTTGGAAAGTCCACAATTTATTTCATAACATCTGCTCAATCATATTCGAGTATAAGAGGAGATGAACATGTGAAGGTGCTACATGTTTGTATGCAACCCAAAACAAAAGAACAACTTTATGAATAGGATGCTGGCTGAAACTGTTAGAGCATAATATTATGTACCAATATATGCTGAATGGGCTCTCAAAGAGACATAATGTCTCAGAGAGACATTATGCGAAATACTGGATTACCCTGAGTGAATGGATGTGCTTTTTTAGAAACATGTCCTATGATTGAATGAAACTAATGTTCATGTTTTTGGCCATTGTTCTTGTTTATTCATACTGAACTAAGTAGTGAAAACTTTCCAGTCTAAGAACTAAATCCTAACTTTGAAATGCAGTGATGGCAGTATCATGTTTTGTTAGAATTGGCTCTTGTACTTTGCGATATCAATGACAGCAGAAGAAAATATGAGTAAATCTTAAAACAGCTCAAAATAGTTCAGGGTCAAATGTGATCTCACTGGATCCTAATCTCATCACCATTTTAGTTAAAAAATGGCTTAAGAAAAACAAAAAATGGCCTTTACAAAATCCTGATCTATCAACAGTTTGTTGGCAGAGTAAAAAAATGTGTTAATGATCAAGGTGACCTTCAACCCTCACTGAGTTACACTGAGTTACATGAGTCCTGATCTCAGAACTACAGCAAAGTTCTGCAGTTGTACGGTTTAAAAGGTAACTCTGTCAAATTTGAAGAATACTTTGATGTTTTTACCTGCTCAATAATAAACTGAATGCACAACATTGTTACAAAACAAATAAAGTAA